ATAACTGTTTTGTTTTAACACTTCTGGTGTCTTCTCAAGTCCTAAAGATTGTACTAAGGTAAACTAGACAACTAGTCAAACTTGATTTTATAACATTTTTATGTTTTAACATTTTTTTGTTATAATTTTCGAATATATATATATATATATATATATATATATATATATATATATATAGTTGTTTGTTCTGGGAACCTAATTATAGCTAAACTACTAAGTATAATAAAAATAATGATTCCACATAAATAAATAAATAAATTAACAAACTCCAAGTGTTTTCTTTTCCGGACCTAATCTGTCCAAATTCTTTATATATCCGAGCAATTTCGGTTACACTATTGGCCATTGTCAAGGATGTTGTTTTTTTTTTATATGTTGATTTTTGTATATGTATATCTATAGTGATGAGAATATTTTATTTATTTTCCATACACGGCCAGCAAGTTGTGGCCGTGTTCATGGTTCTTTTTCTTTATTTTATTATTAATAATACAATTATTTTTAGCCGTTTTTTTTACACGATGATAAGGCTATAATAGCCATATCTTATATGAGTGTGTTTAGGACGGAGTTTGCTAGGTTTCTGTGTGTAGTTAGGTCCCAATTGAGTTATGTAACGCAAGCCTTCTTCATAAACATGTCCAATATAATTATTCGAGAATTTGGTTTGATAAGGAACGCAGTTAATTCAGAGACATGGAATCCATAAATAGTATTGGTCCTCTGTAATTTGGATCTTGCTGTTGATAACGATGAGGTTAGCTGTTTTACATTTTTTTTATAGTAAATAATTTAATTTTGTTGTTCTGGTCGACTGGAGTTATGGGAATTTTCTTATAATGTTCTGCAGGGAACAAAAATTGGAGAGGTGACTTAAAGGGAATTAACTGAGACATTAGGAAGGTGGAACTAGAAGAGTCTACTCGAATGGATGAGATAAAGGTTTCAGTTCGAAATTCCAATCACCTGAAAAAGTCCAGAACGTATAACGGCCGACACGTCGTGAATATAGCAATAAAGATGAGGCAACTGTGTAAATAATTAGAATGCCTCATCTCAGAATTATAGACAAATATTCAGTGTTGCTGTTGGTTATTTAGAAAGAAATAATTTTGTTATCTATGATGTTGCTCGGCAAACCGTTATTAACTAGCACCTGTTTCACGTACGAAGAAGATAAAATAGTTCACTTATAAATCTGTAGCAGGGTACCAAATATATAGATACTACTACTATTTATATTAATGATATTTCCACGTACAGGATTCAAGTAATAATAACAAAACCTCCAATTTGTTAACCAACAAATATATATTGAATAAAATACAACAACAATCATGAAATAATTTTGTATTCACAATGTAGATTAAAGAGAAGGACGTTGTTTCCCTTTAACTGTAGATTGATTGTAATCAACTGTTTGAAGAAAGTTCTCTTGTGATATAAATGTTCCGAAATAATTGTTAGAGCAAAGTCTGTCTATATTTCTGAGATGAGGTATTTCTGAATAATGTAAATATTGTTAGAGCAAAGTTTGCATGTGAAGAATGAATAACACGAAGAAATACAATTGCTTGGTATGTGTCGTGAAAAAAACTGGTTTGAATCAACAATTTCTGGTAAATTGTGCTTGGCGATAGTTACAGAGAGAAAATGCAAGTTTGTAGTTACGAAATTCTGTTTCTGTGTGTACATTGGGCAAGATCGTTAATTTGTGTTGACGGCTGGGATCTTACTGAATCTTACTGGCGACTTGCGAAAAGTCGCCCTATTTAAGGAAAAGAGGTAGGCTCCCACTTTATTACTTAGGTTACATATATTTGAAATAAATAAATTAATTAATAAATAAAGTTTACTAAATCTGAGAAATGACTTAGCTAGTTTTGTAGTAAGTGCCATTAATATTACTTAAATAATATTTAAAGATAAAAAAAAAAAATGTAATTTACATATACTTTGATATGGAAAAATAATTTTACTTACTATGAGTAATTTTCTTTCTGTTATAAAGTAATATAGTCTATTAAAACTAAACAACGAAAATATTTTAAAATTTTAAAGTTGTAATTCTGAAATTGTAATTAAAATTGTAGTTAAATTGAATGAATTCTAACCTAAATTTCTTTTAAATAATACTACACGCAAAAAAAAAACAAAAAAAACCAAAGAAACAAAAAAAAACACCTATAGTAAAATAAAATTAATATGAAATGCCATAAGATGTAAGCTTTTGAATGACCCATGTCCTTAGTACTTACATGAGAAACATTATAATACTAGGTTTATATATAAAATAAAAGTTTACTAAATCAGTGAAATTAAGTAACCATTTTTGCCGTCATAGTCATAATTTAAAAAAAAAAAAAAATGTAACCTCATATACATACTTAAACTTGATGTTAAAATAATCCTACATAATATAATGGATTCTAATACATTTAACTGTTCTTAAAAAGAATATAGTAAAATAAAAATTAAAAAGGAGAATATTTCAAATCGTAGTTAAATAAAAAGTATTAAAAAAAACCAAAAAAAAAACCCGAAAATCTTTAAATTTAAAAAGTGACGTTGAAATTTTTTTACCGTTAACAATTTTTTAAAAAAACATTCAGACGACATCCATTCAACTGATGTCAGGTTTCATTGTAAAATACATCCCTACCCCTTGCAAATTGTAGCTAATAACTGATACAATGATACTGACATAAGGAAATCTAGACATCCCTTGTTCAATTTAAGTAGAATATTCTGTAACCATGGAAATGTGATTTTAGCTGTGTCTTTAAAACCCGGTAATTTTTAAAAGTTACTCCAAAATTCGCTAGAAGATGAAATGGAACTAATGCTTTTAATTTAATTGCAAAATTAAATTCGGGGTTTTAGCTTCTATTTTTGAAACATGGTTGGAACTGTGTAGCGAAAAAAAACATATTTTAAATCAATTAATTTATAATATTAATGCTCTGGAAATTTACATTGAGCACTATTTTGTAAAAATAAAAATATCTATAAGGACACCGGATTTTATATCTTACTGTTCTTTCTTTTATTTTTATACATATATATATATATATATATATATATATATATATATATATATAGAGAGAGAGAGAGAGAGAGAGAGGGGCGTGGGTTACTGAGAGATGGGGAAAGAGAGAGAGAGTGAACAGAGAAATGTACTAATCTCTAATTCTCTTTAATCTACATTGTGAATACAAAATTATTTCATGCTTGTATTTTATTCAATATATATTTGTTGGTTAACAAATTGGAGTTGTTATTTTTACTTGAATCCTGCAGAAAATTTTGCCACTCTTTCATTTCATCATTTTTTAGAATAATTTCCCCTTTCTTCTTTCTTTCAAATCGTGTTCTATAAATTTTTCTATAAATCTTCTATACATTTTCCTTTGATATAAGTACCTCCACGAAAACGCTAAAAAATCAGTTTAGCGTGATGCACGCATGCTTCAAACGTAATGAAAACATAGTTTTATCGTCAAAATCGTTATGTTATTATTAAGAGAAAGGATCAAAGTATTTTTGATTATTTAATCAAATTTTTACACTTTTTTAGATAATTCGAAATTTTAATTTAAAAAATTGCTTTTCATGTATCATCGGTTATACTGTCTTTTTAGCATAGGGCATTATGGCCTCTTTTTGCAGTGACAAACACATAAATCTGGAAATTTCTGCAAAAATCAGATAATTGACGAATTTTAACGAAATTTTCAAGACTTATTCATAAATCAATGTAATTATTTGGGACATTTTTTATCAGAAAGTCTTTTTAAAAAGTATGTTTTTACATTTGTTTCCGCCTCTTAATTAATTTTATGAAAACTTGAGAAATTCATCGAGATAATTTTTATTGACTATATGAGGTAAATTTAAATTTTATTTTTACTTGAATCCTGCAGAAAATTTTGCCACTCTTTCATTTCATCATTTTTTAGAATAATTTCTCCCTTTCTTCTTTCTTTCAAATCTTGTTCTATAAATTGAAAAATTTAAATCATCGAATGTTTTTGCAAAATCGGACCCGGTCTTACAGAAAAAATGTTCTGAATCGAAAAAAAAAAAAAAAAAAACGCAATAAAACTAAGAGATTATCGAATTAGAGAAGCTTTTTATTGCTTCCATGAATAATATATATTAAAAACAATATTGTCTGAAGAAAAAGAATTTTCGACGAAAAATGAATTTTTACTAAATTTGTTTTCATTTTTTTTTTTTTACAATTTTAAATTGAATATTTATAAAGTTTTTAAATCTTTTAAAATTCATTTTCATTGAGATAATTCTTAGGACATATTGTTATTAAGTAAAACTAGATTTACTAATCATATATTGTAATGCTTATGACAATCTGAAAACTCCGAATATTTTAAAGGAATTTCGATTATTTTATGTATGTGTGATTACGTGCAAAATTTCTGAGGTATGGTTGTACAAATCGGTACATCTCGCATTTAAAGATCACCTGTTAAAGGGTTGTCCCCACTTACGGCAAAAAGACTGTATCATGTGCGTCACCATACTTAACTATGAACACGTTCGGCTGTCAAGCAGATGTAAATAATACGATTAACACTTCAGAAAAACAAGACGTCATATTTGGGAAATGTTTGTATACTATATTTTATGTTATATGTTATAAGTAAGTAATATCTGTTTCGGATTAATTTAAATTTAAATTTGTTAATTTTCCTCAAATAACGTTTCAGAAATGTATATTTTATTTTTGCAAGATTTTTAAAATATAGAATTAACTTTTGTTTACAAATGTGTCAAAATGGCCATTTTGATCGATTTTAATGAAAAAGAATCGATTCCGATCAATATAATTTCTTTTTGAAATACACCACAGTGAATTTTGCTTACTGCAAATAGTAAATTTTAAATCATTTAGATTTCAGTTAAAGTTAAAATGAAAGCTTCAAGAAAACCATTTCATTTTTAAAAAGTCATTTTAAACCTTACGTATACCGAATTAGTGGAGGTACCTACTTTTATATCTTTCCTGCACTCTGCTTTTTATTTCTACTTCATTTTCCTTCTCTATTTTTTTTATTCGGCACGTTTTACCCTGTCTTTTTTCTTCCTCTTCTCCTTAATCATCTCTCAATATTCTTTGTCTCTCTCTAGTCCCCACCCCCCAGATTCTATCTCTTCTTCCCCACAGCATTATTTACATCTTCCGCTAATCAAGCTCTCTCCCCGCCGCAGTCTTTTCGCATCAACTTTTACGGGCTGAAAACGCGTAGGTGTTGTCTATTAGGAAACAGTTTGCGAAGCGGTCAGCGCCTGAAGAAGTGGTTCATTGCTTTGGCTTCATCAGGCCATTCGCAAATGTTCATGCACAAAGCACAGGAGACAATCAAATTTACCAGACTACGATTATGTCATGGGGTGTTTAACACAAACCTGGAACAATGCAGATACATCAGGGCGTAAAGTGCTTTGATTAAATTGCACATGCAGACAGGCAAAAACTCGAATGAAACCCTTCATTACAACTTCTTGCAAGGCTAAACAAACTGATCAATACACATACGATAGAGGGTATTTACTTGAGACCCCTTCTTTTTAATGTGCTGTGTCCCCTCAGAGCGTTAGCGATTATTACTCTCCACAATTTTCTGTTCCTTGTAGCTGCTAATAATTTTTTTTTTCGTTATTTCTCTTAAACCCTGTTCCGCCATCCATTTACCTAAACTTACTAAATATGTTATGCGCTGTTTTCCACTGTCTGTCTTGCCTTTCATCTGTCCTGTGAGTATCAGATTTTGCAAGCCCACTTTCCTCATTACATGTCGCCACACGGAGACAAATAGATATTACGTTATGGGGAAAATAGAAATGGCTTACATCCCAAACGCGCTTGCGTCTGTCTGGCCTGTGGGTTGAGAAAAGAAAGAAAGGGTCCAAGATGGCGTCCGTGACTTTTTAATATTCACGGTCTCGTGCAGTCACGCAAAGTCGCGTTACACGCATGCTAATGAGGTGTGTCTGGGCTCCATAAAAGCAGGTAGAAGGACATTACACCCGTGTTCGGTGTACATTGCTTTGCGTTGAATCGTGTCAGTCATTTTCCGACGGAAAGAATTGCGTCCCTTAGACTCTTGAATTTGACTCCTTTGCTACAAACGTTAGGTTTAATTCGTGCCCACACGCGTACGTTTGGGTAAAGGTTAAACGATTGCCTAGTGCCATCTTTTTTTTCATAGCAGTCATCAGTGCATGCTCTGTCCATAACATATGCGATTAGTTGATACTGTCAGGAAAACGGACCCCAAGATGTCAGGAATGCTTCATTTCTCTCGCCCAAAAGTAAGATGGCAGAGCACAGCTGAAAGGCAGATAAGTCAGTTTACAACTGCGTTTCTAACTGGAATGCACGTAAAGTATATCTTTATATTTAGCTGAACACAGCACAAGAACTATACTGGTGTATTTGGTAAGAATCGTATTTATTACAGTAATAAGATTTTGCGAGACTAGCTTACTAAACGTTCTTCTATGACTAAGGGTCATAGTTGTTTGTTTAATCTAGGTTGCCACAGAAACGGAGTTACTTTTAAACACATGGCACGAAATGGTGATCTGGGTCTATTTTCTAAACATCCCGTTAGTGTAATCCGTTTCGCTGCAAAAACTTAGCTTAGTCTTCAACTGGCTTAAATTGACTTGCCTGCTCGTAAAATAGAGGATTTATATGGAGGTGGGAATATATTTGGGGATTAGCATTAATTAGGCGTGACATTTGTCAGAATCTAAAAAAGAATCCCGATTTTTTTTTTATAATTTTAGAAATGCAGTCCTGTTCATAATACAAATTCATAAAGAGTTATTTGTACTTTGTTTTCATTTACAAATGTCGAGTTTGAAACTGTGCTTACATCATTATCAATTGCGTACTACTGACTTTGAACTGTTTCCCAATTCTTAATAGTAGGCTGTTAGCAATATAAAATCTATAGCCCATCGCTTTATAAGACATAGAACATATCAGACAATGTTTTCGTTCATATCTAAGAGTATACATTACATATACCTTTTTTTTTATTTTATATACATAACCTCAAAATAATTCCGCATCAAACTGAATAATTTAAATGTTATTTATTTGAAATAGACACGTATCAAAACATCAGAAATTGTAGCAATTAACACAGACTGATTTACAAGAAAATTTAAATTTTTCAAAAATTTTAAATATATTTATAGGTTTAATTTGTTTTTAATTTCAAGATTCATTCAAATTGTGAATGTAAATAAGGAAATAATTTCTGCTGCGTAAATTTACTTCGCTTTTACGAAGGTAGGATGAAAAGTTCATAGTCTGATTATGAGGAAGTAATGATAGAGCTGTGAAATGTTGCCTGCATTAATTTCAATTCTTGTTACTAACTGCATTGTTTCGTATCTGGAAAACTGATATCTCACTGTTCAAAGAGAATTCTTTATCCTATTAGTAAAAATACCATTTAACAGACAGAAGATATTTTCCCAGCCAATTGTTTTTTCCATGGTGGGGGGGACAGATGATAGTCAAATCAGTAGAATAGATTTGGTGACCAACCAGTTCAAAGCCACAGTCATGCACAGAGTGGTCCTTTGAAGATAGTCAATAAAGAAAATGCATTTTGCATCCCCCAAAAACTGAGCCCATCAACTTCGCTGCAGAGGAAACGACATTGCCTTTTTTAGAGTAAGTGAGGAGTGTTGTTTTCTGTGCATAGATTAACTCTGGCTCAACGTAATGAATCCGACACATCCTGGGTTAGGAAAAGTTCAAGGTAACCAGTTGGATCTGTCTCAAACAATGACTGCTTTTACTGGGTTTTCTCCCAACTTGATCCAAAGAAGCCATGGTCGTTGCATCTGCAGGGTAAATAATGCCTTCAGTTTATTTGGATGCAAAAGGAATTGTATTTATAGTCTATCTTCAAAAGGGCAACACCATCAATGGAGAGAACTATGCAAACTTGCTTAGGCTGTTACAAAAGACTATCATGTCCAAACGCCCAAGACAACTGACGAAAGGGGTCCTGTTTCATCAGGACGATACTCCAGCAAACAAGGCCTTGGTTTCAATGGCTTCGGTGCGTGACTGTGGCTTTGAACTGGTTGATCGCCGACTCCCAATTTCCTGATTTGACTACCATCTCTTCCCCAACATGGAAAACACTTGGTTGAGAAACTGTATCGCAATGATCATGACGTCATATCTGCTGTTGATGAATTTTGTGACCAAAAGGATGAACTGTCTCTTTTGACCAGTCAGATGTCAGTTTCCATCGAAATAAGACTTGTAGTTTTTAATATTAGTAGAAATTAATACGTGCATGATTTCACTGCTCTAGAATGAATCTTTGATAGTCAGCCTATGAACTTTTCAACCCACTCTCGTAGATTTAGTTCTCAATGCCAATTTATATCATCCTATGATATCCGCCAAGAGAGAATATAACCCGTTCATTTTCTCAAGAATACAGGAAAGAGAATCTTCATTCTTATTATTATTGATTTTGATTCAGTCGCTGTATTGTATATTCTGAAGGATTACTTTCATCCCGTGTTTAATTAATATCAAAACCAGTCAAGAGACACTAGCCAATGCCCTGTTTGTGACAAATATATTCAAAGGGAATTTTAAAATTTATCTCTGAATAGTAACGGTGAACTATTTCCATGGAGAATTAGTCATGAGTGTCTTCGTGTTTTTAGAGAGTTATCAGTATCAGAAAGTGGAATCGACGAGCCAAGTTAAAATTCCAACCATGTCGGTTGCGTACACTTTCACATTAATTGGAAAGGCATGAACCCGTCTCTTCTCCCTATACTTAGGAATCCGCCTCTTCTCCTTCCAGATATGGGTTAGACTGGGCTCTCTAGCTTTGGGTAGTAACCAGTCGAAGTAAAGGATGAATCTAAATTCGAAAACCAGGAGAAAGTAGCCGGAAACTACTCCATTATTTCTGCCAAATAGAAATTCTCGGATAATGAAGAAAGTGAATCTCCAAAGAATCGCCACGCCGATATCCCGAAGGGACATGGCAAGTTTTAAGCATAGATCTGTTGATTTAGTTAAAAAAAATCATCATCATCATCATCATCATCATCATCATCATCATCATCATCATCGCTGATTCGACTTGAAGGCATACTGCAACTCAGTATAATTTCTAATCTTCAGCAAACTTTGGAAAAATCGATCTGGCATCTGCAATCTCCTTGTCTTTTTGCTCACCCAAGAAAGTGACGCAGATCTCCCAAGCTCTTGAAAGTTTTTACGGGGAAAGTTGGAATTCTATTGAACATATTTCCAATGTTTTTGTTCAATGTTTATACGATGCTTGTTCGTCCAAAATGGTTGTCTGTCCTTAAATGTTGTTTGTAAGCAATACTTTTTGTTCTTAGATGTTTTCGTAAGTAATGGTCGTTCGTCATTAATAGTTGTGTTCTTCCATAATGGTTGTTCGTTTGCAATGGTTGTTCGCCTTTAATGGTTGTCCTTTCGTAATGGTTGTTCGTCCTTTGTTTTTGTTCGTCATTAATGGCTGTTTGTCCGTAATTTGTTGTTCGCCTTTAATGGTTGTCTTTTCGTAATTGTTGTTCGTCTTCTCTGGTTTTTCGTCCTTATTGGTTGTTTGTCCGTAATGGTTGTTCGTTTATTGATTTTTCGCCTTTAATGGTTGTCTTTACGTAATGGTTGCTCATCCTTTAGCATCCTGCTACCACTTTTCTTTTAATGTCAATTTTTGTGCAAATCTGTGAAAAAAGTGGATCACAGAGCCTTGATATTTCTCTCACTTCTCATTGGTCAGTTGATATTTAAATCAAGATCTCAACTACGTCCGAATAATATCGACCGACTTTCCTCACCTGACGAAAATACATTTCCGCCCCAAATCGGAAATGCTTTCCGGAGCTGATCACGTGATTACGTTTATTATAAATACTGTGACACAAGTTCTTTCTTCTTTTTGATTTCTCTCGCATACTAAAATGTAGCTGTTTAAGAAATCGCGTTCCGACCCCTTTTGGACGGACGCTATGAAAACATATTCACACACGCACACATACACGTACGTACGGAAACTTAATTACAAACATTATGAATATTACAGAACATTACAAAATCTTACGAAAATTCAACTACAAGCAACGGAAACTAATTAAACATCACGGAACATTCATTCTTTCAACTCATCTGAAGTTAAAAGTTTATCAACATATTCTCAGCTGTACAGTATTCTTACACCTCTCTCACGGTGAACATTTCGAGCGGTAAGTTCATTCATCTTTCTATGAGCTCAGATAAAAATATTTCCTTAGTAAAGACTAGTGAAAGTGAAGCAACCCCTATGTTTGTATATCATAGACATACATAAATATGAATATTGTTTGTAATAAAAAACCGTTTTGTATTCCTTCTTATTTTTTCATATTTTGTGGTATTTTGCGTTAAATTTAAATCCGAGAGGTCACAACAAACAGACCTCAATAGTCCGTAATGGTTGTTCCTCCATAATTGTTGTTCCTCCATAATGCTAGTTCTTCCGTTGTTGGTACTTAATGTTTGTTCGTACTTAAATATTGTTCGTCCGTAATAGTTGTTCATTCTCAAAGGATGTTCATTAATAACGGTTGTTCATCCTTAATGCTTGTTCGACCATAACAGTTTTCCATCCAATGTATAAAGATGTTATTATTCTATTTGGTATGAAAACAACATTACAAGAACCACCGATAAAATTCCGTCAGTCGCCATAAAATCAACAGCATTGAAAGTCTTGAAAGACAACAAAGAATTTTGGAAAGGACTGATAAGAGTGAGTTACAAAGTTACTGAAGATGAGAAATCACATTGATTTGTAGTTTGTCTTTGAGTCGAAACAGTTTTCACGATGCTTACGAACAAGTTAATTTTTTTCACAAAAACAATCGGTGATAAAAGTCTTACTAATTAATCTCTGTCAAGGTTGACGATGGAGGAACAGCTGTTTTTCTGATACTAGTGGGTAGGTAACGTTGCTATGAAAGACAGGCTTACTCCCTCACATTATTTTCTGGCAACCATCATGGCATGGCCGAATCAAGACATCTTGCCCAGAGAGCAGGGAGAAGTAGATTCATGCCTTTTTAAAGACATCAATAAAAAATGTGGACATAAGCTTCCTCAGCTAATTTCAAACTAGGGTTGCTGATTCTGTTCTTCTGGTTGATAGCAACCATTATTGAATATCATCATTCAAAATATATTTTTTTTAATTCCTCAGCGCTTGAATACTGACACTGATAGGCAATACGCAACTATCTTGGCCAGTAAGCAGTTCTGGGATTATAACATATCGTAACAGGTGTTTGCCATTATACAACAGACACTGTCACATTGAACTGTCCTAATTTCGATAAAGATTTATGACCAATAAGATAAACTTTGAAAAGCTTGTAAAACCCTCAGAACTTTCGAGAGTTCGCAAAAGACAGAGGTTTGGAGAGGACTGATAAGAGAGATTTACTGAAGATGAGGAACCACACTGATTTGTATTGAGTCTTTAAGTAGAAAAAGCTCTGATGAAGATGTGTTGATAAATACAACTGATTTTTCTTGCCTTTTACTTGGCTTTGTGATTGATATATATTATTTTCCACCACGCAACACATTTTCTACATACGAAACGTTGTATAGCCTGTCACTACATTATCAGTATTTTCTTGACAGATTTTCAGACGGGCGATATTCCTTAGTTCCACCATTCCAAAGCTTCAACCCACTATGGTTCCTCAGAAATGTTACTTTGTGGAACAGACACCCGAAAGGATGTTTCGCCGATCACTACTTTATTTCTTTCTTTCATTACCACATTGCATCTTGCTTTTATTTAATTTCTGCTTTCTTTCTTTGGTTAATATTTTGTTAGGTCACATTGGAGAAAATGTAGCTAGGAACTGCAATGTTATTGGCCTGACTTAGCATCTCGGCTTCAATCATTTTTCCACTGAGCTAAATTAGCTTCTCTATAATATTTTCATAAATATTTTCAAATTATATATTCTACTGAGCTTTCCTCTTTGAACCATAGATTTTATGTCTTTAAGCGTATTACTGGATTGGCAGTGTGGTCTCATCATCTTACAGTTTAATTTGGTTGATGTAACCGCAAGTTCTATGTGAACAGTTTCTTCTCTCGAACTTCTCGTTTGTGGAACTCTCTTCCGGCTTCTTTCGTGTCAGTCAACCGTGAACTTCCAAAATTTAAATGCAATGTATATCGTTGTCTCCTATTTTCTTAATTCCCGCTCTTTTAGTGTTCTATCTGTTTAATAATTATTGTGGGAACCTAACCTACCTACAAATGGACTATTCCACACTTATATAATGTAGCTACCAACTATGAGTTGGGCAGAGAAAGAGTACCAGTGAGAGAAAGTACTCTCCTGTCCATGTTTACTGTTGTACTTCTTTTACCCAGAATATATTAATAAACCTTATATCCGAGTCCGAGTTATCTTTTATGGTCCACCCATAACAATAATGTTTTCTTTTTTCATATTCTATCTCGCACAATAAACCCTTGCGTCTTAGTGGTTTTATTGCTTTCTTTGGGGTGAAATGATTAAAGAAATATTTTGATCTTAAGAAGAGCTGATACTTCGATAATCAATATTCTGATTACTTATCGATTATCTGGACTTGAGTACAAACCTTTGGCGTCATGGGGAAATAAGTCGTTTTTTCTTTATTTTTGTTTTTCTTCCTTTCTTTCTTACGCCACGTACACAAGGTTGAATCATCCCCATTTCAATTCGTATTGTACTTCAGCTTCCTCGATCACTATAATCATAATCTCTTCATGTCTAGAGTCAACCGTAATCTATCCTACATATTCTAATAATCTGCACTTACATCCTCCTCTTACATCCTAACAACAACCTTACTTTCCAAGCATCTACCTTGAGTGTCTCTATGGGTTTGTATTGGGTGAACGTTTAGTAAAATCGTAACCATTGATTTTTCTAACTTTTTTCCTAGAATTCTGTGTAAAAAAAAAAAAAAACGAATAAAAATATTATTAACCAACACACTACAACAAGCGATCGAAATAGATGTTTATTTGTCTTAATATTACAAATCTGCCCTAAATGGATACCTAATGTGGCAATAAAAAAAGAACATTCTAATTATCCCCCTTATGTAACACTTCAGATATACGTAAGTACATACCAAAATATATAAAACGCGTCAACCTGGCGCCATACTTGTACTACTAATCATACTGAATAAAGTTTCCAAAGTAACTTCTTTATATTTTTTTACTTCATTCAATACACCCATTAAATACGAGACTTTCATTCTTTCATTTTGCTATTCTAGCAAAGGTTTCGTTTATTAGCTTGCCAATTATCGCCTGACGGCAATCTTCCAGCCAAATAAAACCTCTTCAGATTACAACAAATATTTTAATGCAAGCCACTTCAGGTAGTCATTTTTCTTGATTTAACAACTTGTGGCGACGCAAATCGAGAAGGCCTTGTTTAGTCATATGATATTGGTATTTCTTATGAGTCGAGCTGTTTGTTTTTTCTACACGTGGAGTAATGAATTTGCCAAGTACGGATGAACAAAAAGAAAAAGAAAAACAAAGACGAAAAAAATCTAACGTAAATCCACCAAGTCCAACTGAATAGATAATTAGATGAATAAGTGTTTGAATAAATAGGGAATTAAATGACTTAACAGACGATTAAATTCGTACTTAGTTACGAAAATATGAAACAAGTGCTTAGCGAATGGCATCATAAAAGAAAGTAATGAAATTATGATTAAAAGGAAATAAATAAAATCATTTCAGAAAATTAAGATCAGGGGCGGGCGTGTTAAGATTGGCACAGAATCAAAGTCATCGCTTTTTCCTATTCTTTGTCTTTCTTCATCACTTCCTTACTTTTACTTTTGTTTCTTTTCTTCTTCTTTTACTTATTGTCTATTCTTTCTTTCTTTCTTTCTTTCTTTCTTTCTTTCTTTCTTTCTTTCTTACTTTCTTTCTTTCAAGAGGAAACCTTCAATAATATTTTAGTGCTTCGATAATTAGTCAGTAATGAGCTCATTCTTTCCATTACTCTTCCGTAATTTCATTTTTGTTTCTTTTCTTCTTTTTCTTATTGTCTATTCTTTCTTTCTTTCTTTCTTTCTTTCTTTCTTTCTTTGTCCATCATTTCCTTAATTTCATTTTTTGTTTTTTTTTCTTCTTTTTTTTCTTATTGTCTATTCTTTCTTTCTTTTTTCTTTCTTTCTTTCTTTCTTTCTTTCTTTCTTTCTTTGTCCATCATTTCCTTAATTTCATTTTTGTTTTTTCTTCTTCTTTTTCTTATTGTCTATTCTTTCTTTCTTTCTTTCTTTCTTTCTTTCTTTCTTTCTTTCTTTCTTTCTTTCTTTCTTTGTCCATCATTTCCTTAATTTCATTTTTGTTTTTTCTTCTTCTTTTTCTTATTGTCTATTCTTTCTTTCTTTTTCTTTCTTTCTTTCTATTCCCTAAATTCATTTTTTTCATTATTCTCAATGTCATTTCTTTCTTTCTTTCTTTCTTTCTTTCATTCTTTCTTTCTTTCTTCATAATTTTTTATCTAATTTTTTCCCACATTAGTTTTACTTATTTTAATATTTTCTTTCCATCAGGCTCTCGTTAAACGTTCGTTTTCTGACTTTTTTCATTTTACTTTTTATATTTTTTTCTTTTTTTTTCTTTTCATTCTAGTTTTGTTCCTTATTGATTTTATTTCTTTATATAATTATCTTTTTTCTCTTACATCCTTTCTTTCTTTTTTCTTTCTTTCTTTTGGCGATCATTCTCCTTACCCTCTCCTTATAACGCCATCATTTTTTTTCTTTACCTCAATGCAAAAGTCTTTCATTCTTTCTTTCTTTCTTTGCTTAAAATCGTCATATTTGTTAGGTCACATTAGCGAAAATGAATCCATGAAACTAGTTTATGAGCCAATCTCCACATAAGAGAACAGTTGATGCATCGAACATCAACATGCAGATTTTTTTTTATTATCTAGGCTCGAACACTGACATTTAGCGTTGTTGGGAAACATGTTTACGAACGATCACAGTCGCATGTTAAACTTCATTCCTTCGTTTGTTTTGTTTTTCACTGTTCCTCGCTTATTCTTTCATTCTCTCTTTCTTTGTTCTATTATGTCTCTTTGTTGTTTTTTTAATTGTTTCTTTCTATCTTTTTTCTTTCTTATTTCTGTCTTTCTTATTCTTTCATTCTCTCTTTCTTTCTTCATTTATTTCTCTTTTCTTCTTTCTTTCTTTCTTTCTTTCTTTAGTTGCTTGTATCCTTTTCCTTCCTTCCTTATATCTTTCTTTCTTTCACTGCTTATTTCTTTCTTATTTTTTAGCCTGTCTTTTTTTCTTCATTTATGTCTCTTTTTCTTTCTTTAATTGTTTCTTTCTTTCTTTCTTTCCTTATTTCTACCTTTCTTTCTTTCACTCGTTATTTCTTTGTTATTCTTTCATCCTCTCTTCATTTATTTCTCTTTTTTCATCCTTTCTGTAATAGCTTGTTTCTTTTTTCTTTTCTTATTTCTTTCACTGTTTCTTTCTTTTTTTCTTTCTTATTCTTTCATTGTTTCTTTCTTTCTTCATTTATTTCTCTTTCCTTCTTTCTTTCTTCATTTATTTCTCTTTCCTTCTTTTTTTAATTTTTCGTTTGTTTGCTTCTTTCTTTCCTTCTTTATTTCTTTCCTTCACTCTTTACTTTTTTCTTATTCTTTCATTTTATCTTCGTTTCATCACTTATTTCTCTATTCTTCTTTCTTTAATTGTTTAATATTTTAATTCTTTATTTATTTATTTAATTTCTTTCTTTCTTTCTTTCTTTCTTTCTTTCTTTCTTTCTTTCTTTCTTTCTTTCTTTCAAGGCTTCTCATTGAATATTCAACCGTATCTGTCTTTGCATTTCAGCAAGATCATTGTCCGACATTTTAATCCGTTTCAAATCCCATGAGATTAAATTCTTTCTATATTAATCTTTTAATACTTTTTTCCTGTCTGCCTGTTCGGCATCTTTGTATACGTTCGTTCGTTTCATTCTTAGTCGGGCTGCCTTTAATACAGTTTTCACCAGCAAGTTCTTGAGCGCTTTCAGCTTAGGTTGCAACGACCTGCTCGACACACATAAAAACAAAAAAAAAATGTCATGCTTCCAGCTGCGGCATCATAAAGTGAGTGGATTATTATTCAATTAGTGTCACATAAGCCTATTTCTCTTCCAGTATTGAATCGTTGTTTGCTTTTCTCAGTTTTACGCTTCTATATTGGATGATACCATGCCGTGAATATCATGTTTGTTCCGTTAAGAAACCTCTAAGTAGATCTATGTCGTGTTGATAGAACTAATAATCAAGCAGACACAAGAAATTAGCACGATGGCAAAAAAAAAAAAAAAAAAAAAGACCAGGTGTTTCTTTTTCTTTTCGGCTGAACACCAAAAGAGAAATACAAACCCATAAACGTAGGTCCGTAGTTTATTGATGGAGAAAGCATTATATTGCACAAAAATATTTTATTTAAAATGCAACAAAGACTTGCTCCTTTCAAAGCACCGAATTCGAATTTGAAAATTAATCATAAGTGATTAAACAAAATTGAAAGTGAAAGTTTTAGATGAAAATTAAGCTAATCACTACGTATTTGGCTACAAACCTATTGATCCACACACACGGGCGTGCGCGCTCAAACACATACGCGCATGCACGCACACACCCGCGCACGCTCACACACACACACACACACACATATATATATATATATATATATATGTTTGCATGCATGTGTGTGTGTTTTGACATAGGAGGAAATACTAGAGATTGATTTTCGTTATTATGTTTCTTCATGCTTTCTTTTTACATTGTGTGTGTGTTTGTGTGTGTGCACTTGTATCTGTGCGTCCACACACTTACCGAATTTATTGTATTTGGTCAACGTATTGATTACTCGTCACAAACGCCCACTCTCTCTCTCTCTCTCTATATATATATATATATATATATATATATATAATATGATATAATATAAAAGGCTCAAACACTAATATTCCATGGTTATAATTTATTACATTGGAATCGTAATAACGATCCACTTCATCCGACCTACAAATTCAACTTTTTGAATTTATTTGTAGGTCTGATAAATTGTATCGTGATTACGATTCCATTGTAATAAATTATAAACACTGAATATTAGTATTTGAGCCTTTTATATTATATTCTTACTCTGTCCTGGACATTGAGTTTTACCTGGATTTTATCCTCTTGGGAATATATATATATATATATATATATATATATATATATATATATATATATATATATATATATATATATATATATTGTGTATTTAGACAGTAGTCCAACATTTATGCATGTTTCATTAAAAACGACGAAGGTACAACGATTAAGCTTTTTATTTAATTTTTCTTGTGTTCGACAAAGAGCTTTCTTTTGGAGTGTGTAGAAACTGTCCAAATGTTATAAGTTTCCAAGCGCTTTCGGCTATAGTTTTAGCCATTATCAAGGATGATGTTATTTTTTCCGTTTAATTGAGTGAATCCGTTATGTGTATGTTTTCACTGTTTTATAGAGATGTTTTATTTTCGAACACCGTTAAAACATTATGGCCTTGTTCGTAGTTAATATTGTAAAGAGTTGACTTTTTTTTCTTTTTATTATTAGGGCTTCCATTATTTTTTAATCTTTTTTATAGGTGGAGAAGTTTATTATGTTTGTGTTTTCTACTAGTATGTTTCGAATGATGTATGATCAGTTTATGGGCGTATTTCAATGGGTTCTAATAGAGATGTGGTCAGATAGCTGTAACGTAAGTCGTTTGGATAGGCATGTGGTTGTGTGACTGATGTAATTATTTTTGAAATCGGTTTGATCAGGAACACAGTTCCTTAAGGGGACTTTGAGCGCATAGATAATGTTTGATCGATGTTATTTTGACTTAACTGGTGTGTTGTTATTTTTGAGGATAAGATTATATATATATATATATATATATATATATATATATATATATAAAAAAAATATGTTGTAGTGGTTCCAACGAGAAAAAGTATGTATATAAAAAAGAAAAGGTGCCGCAAACGTTTTTTGGTTGTAATGTGAATTTATTGAAAGAAAAATATTATACTTTGACAAACAGAATTTCTCATATCGAGTTTCTGAACATGAAGAAAAATTAATTATTTTCTTAAGGTGAAAATCTCCACTTTTACATATTGATTAAAAATAATTAATTTTTCTTCATGTTCACGTGTGGAAATTCTCGATAAAACATTCTGTTTGTTTTTTCTCAATAACCATTTTACAAAAAAACGTTTGCGGCACCCTTCTTTTTTTTTATATATATATATATATATATATATATATATATATATATATATATATATATATATATATAAAATTTAATTTTGCTAACTAGATGCGTCTCTATAGCTCAGTGTTATAGCACGTCAAATCAATTACGCACAAGGTCCAACTTACTGTTTTTAGGTACAAAATCTTCGGCAATTGTTTTGATCTATCATATCTTCTCACTGTATAGTTTCTCTGAATAGATATCCTTAAAGACTCTCTCTCTCTCCTCTCTCTCTCTCTCTCTATCTATCTATATATATATATATATATATATATATATATATATATATATATATATATATATATTACGGTAATGGATAACAACGCACATCAATGTATAAATACTTATACGGATGAACGACATATAGTTTTGTACCACTTGCACCCCTGAAGATGATCTTGGAAGAAGATTGAAAGTACATGGTAAATTTAAATAACAGAAACTGCTATAGCAAATTTCTCGCATCCTTTAACATCAAAACTCGGAAGGTTATTCGTGATTATGAACGGATTTTATTAATAATTAGCAAACATAATCTCTGTAATTTATTTAATAAGATATGCCTAAAAGAGAATTTGCTGCTTAAATACACACACACACACACACACACACATATATATATGTATGTATGTATATATATATATATATATATGTATGTATGTATATATATATATATATATATATATATATGTATGTATGTATGTATATATATATATATGTATATATATATATATATATATGTATGTATATATATATATATATATATATATGTATGTATGTATATATATATATATATATATATATATGTATGTATGTATGTATATATATATATATATATATATATATATATATATATATATGTATATATATATATATATATATATATGTATGTATGTATATATATATATATATATATATATATATATATATATATATATATTGAACAAAAAAATATTAAAAAATTAAAATCTTCAGACAGACTGGGTTGTAGATTAATATACTTTCGTTTTTTTTTATTATTATTTCATTTAGATTCCTCGACTACTTTCGACCAACATGGCCATCATCGGGAGGAGAAATATTTCTGCTTGTTGGTAGCAGTAAATTACAGAAATGAATGTCTTGATGGAGAAAATGAACTTTTGTCTGTAGTTTTCATTTTTTTTTTTTTTATCTTTTCAACATGAATCTTTTAACATTCCTTGTGTTGGTCAAACAGTCTCTTTTAAGTTGTTATTTGAGATAAGGGCTGGATGGATCTATGCTTCTCTGAATTCCCGTGGTCAGTTTGACAGTTTTATTGGTTCTGGAGAAGGGATGTGTCTCTGTTAAGTGTTTGTGTGTGTGTTATTTGGTTCTTAGGGAGTGAGTGAGTATGATATGTGTAAGCGTGTGTATCGCTGTTGGTGTGTGTCATCATTTGGCTCATTAGGGAGTGAGTGAGTATGATGTGTGTAAGTGTGTATATTCGTGTGGGGGTGTGTATAAGTGTGAGGCCTCAACACCTCCGTACGCATG